CGCATCAAAAAGCATCAACAAACCCATACGATAGTTTTTGTGTTTTATTTCTCTCCGTTATTTTTCCAAAATCGAACACCCAAATTTTTTGCTGTGAATGTGCGATTTGTATTGTCATTTATATTTCGTTTCTTCATCCAGTCAAAAAGAAAAAAAACCAAATAAATAAAGAGATTGTTTTCCACGAACAACATATAAATGTATGTCCATCCTGCAATATGCACATGTGTTATTTTTTTGGTTTCAATTCGTCAATCTTAATTTCGTTTCCATTTGCTAATCCAAAAATAAAAGCAATAAGCAGTTCAATGTTATCCATACCAAATAGAAAATGTACTAAGTATCCTCATGCTTTTTCATTTTTTGTTTTCGTTTCTCTAGTGTCCGTAAGATTGTTAACCACCTGATTTATGATTTTCCATTTTACGATTGGACCCAGTTTGACCATTGTTTGATTCGACATTTTATCGTTTCATTCATTCGAAATTGCAAGAACCAAATTCCAATTTTCAAAAATCAAATGAACAAAATGATACGTGCTTTCTGTTTTCATCTTGATTTTTCTTCCGTTCGGTTTTCCTTTTTTGTGTTTGAACAATGCGTAAAGATGAAGAGGAATTTATTGTTTGGATGCAAATAGAGTCATAAACACAACAAGAATATGTAACAGTTTGTATGAGAAGATCAGCAGCTAAAAAAAGAAGAAAAAAGATAGCAGATGTTGCATCATACGCCATGCAATGCTCAACAATTCGTTTGAACGAAAAATGTAAAAGAAAATTCGATTTGATTTCGAAAGCGGAAGAATTTCTTCCATTGAAAAGACGAAATTATTTTTTAATCGCGACACTGATAAAGTTACCGCTTGTAATTGATTTCGCTTGAAAGTGTAATTGATCCGGGCATGAAAGGCGTCTGTTTGCATCTGATATCTTGCGAAAAGAAGTTGTCCGGTGTGTATATCTGCGCTTTGTTTTTTCTCCCGTTCAAACATGAACAACACATCATCGTCATACATATATAAAAACCCGCCTGATTAAATGACATCCAGAATACGCCACGGTCGGTTACATGGCGAAGCGAATACAGATGCGTAAGCAACGTTTCATGGCAATACAGAAGATTGCCCAGGAGAAGAAACTGCAGGTGGATGGTGGCCAACAGCCATCGGCGATGATGAGTGCCGGACCGGATCACAGCCACAGCCATAGTAGTCATGGACACAGTCACAGTCATCAGCACGGACCGAAACAATCGGTGCAACAAACACTGCCAGGTATGAAATTTATGTGCTCAAAAATGGACTGAATAAAAAGGAATTCATTCATAAAATCAAATTGAATTATTCCGAATTGATTTGGCATTTTTTAATTGATTTTTTTTTTCTTTTTCTTCCTTTTACTTCGATTTTCTTTTCAACACACCAAAAAACAAACAAATTTACAGGCAATCGACCATCGGGTTTCGCCAATTTGCAGCAGAATGTTGGCTCGCGCGGCTGTTCGTTAGTTGGCCCACTGTTTCAAGAAGTTCGATTTAAGGTACATGATCCAAAAGCTCATTCGAAGGGCGGCACACTAGAAAATACAATTAATGGGGGTCGTGGGCGCTCAAACGCCGACAGCGGTCCTGATGAAGAATCGGGTGGTGATATGCGGCCACCGCCACCGCCACATTTAATTCATCCGGGCAAAGTGAGTATTTTCCGCTTTGAAATCGCTTTTAAAACAATGGACTGTCGCCTCTCATGATGAACATGATTTCATACCAAATGAACATTTCATACACACATTTCACATGGTGGAACACATGAAGAGAAATAGAAAGACGACAGCGAGAGAGAGAGAGAGAGACTTTGAATGAATGAATGAATGAACAGAAAAAAACCATTGGCATTTGCATGGAACAAACCAAAAATCAAAACAAAAAACACTCAGAGAGAGAGAGAGAGAGAGAGAGAGAGTAAGTGAAGAGATATGAATTTGGGTCGGAGAGGAAATTAGACCAATCTTTCATAGCGAATTGATCATAAATTCATGTGAACGAAGGCGGCTATCATGACTTTTATTCCATATTTACATAAAAACTACATTAAAATCGCTCTACTAACAATTAATGGTGATGGACTGCTTTTAACGCTTATCCACTCTCTCCGCACAATTTGTTTCCTCCTTCTTTTTTGCAGTTGCCGTTTATATTCTCAGCGATAATAATTTTTGGTTGTCGACTGTTGTTGTTTAAATAAAGCAAATAAACGAACGAACCAACGCAAAATGCCATTTTACATGAACTATAATCAAGATGGCTGCTAATATAGTATGATTATTATTAAAGCGCATGAATTGCTTTCGATAAAGTTTTCAAAGTTTTTGGCATTTTGACTCAACACACACATACACACATAAATACGGTTGGTTTTCGTTTAATGAAAATGACCACCGCGTTTCTCTTCCCCACACACACGTCATCATCAACTTTCTATGGCACAAATTACAGATGTTTTCTCTCTCTCTCTCTCTCTACCGCGTTCTGCGAATGTGTGTGTGTGTGTGTGTGTGTTTCGAAACGGAAATATGTGCCGAATATACTACATCACCACACAAAACTAAGTGAACTTTTATGTTTCATCGAACATGATTTGGCGGCAGCGCGCGCTCCAAATGACCAACCAAAGAGATTATATTCATTCATTCATGTGTTTCATTTTCATTTTCATTGGCAAGTAAATCACAAAATAGCATTTTCGTGGCAATTTATACTCTCTCATAAATCCGCTCACTCTCTATTTCGCCATTCTATTAGAGAAAGTTGGTCGTTGGGCCAAGCGCTGGAGAAAATTGGTGTGATTTCAGTGTGGCAATGTAATAAATTAAGACTACATGACGTATCAATGTCTTGCCACTCATTCTAGCACACAATTTCTCTCTCACACGCATTCACTCACTCACTCGCTCATTGCTCTCATTTACCCGTTCTCTTCGTTCTTCTCTTTGCGGCGGTCAATTTCGAAGCCACCTTGTTGTATACATCAACTGACTGCTTCTATAATTTAATTCATAAAACGCTAGTCTAATTTTCGTTCTTTTGCTCCCTGGCAAAATAATAATGCGCTCCTTTTCCGTCATTCTTTATCGCCAATTATGTGTGAACCAATTCTTTTTTTCGCTTTTCTGTTTCTGTGCAACACTCGCATAAACGGAAAACGGAACTGAATGAAGCAAAAGCAAAAAAATGGAATTTAGAAAATGCTGAGAGCGCAAAAATAATTCAAAAAACGAGTGAAAAAAAAATTGTTCAAATCTCGCTTCTATTTTATATGGAAAGCAAGGACAAAGTGAATTGTGCAAATTGCACACATGCATTATCCGTTCTGGGCGATTCATTCAACGTCAGTAAAATACTGCAGCAAAAGGAAAAATTGAATTTTTCCTTCGAAACACTGCAATTTTAATTTGCAACCTAAAAAGATATATGAGTGCTGCGGTGACGTTGTTGATATTCATTCTTCTAAGAATTCTATGGGCTCAATTCAAATTTGATTTTATTCAAAATTTTACCATTTGTTGATCGGCTAGCCATTCATTCGAGAAAAATGTTAGCAAAGCCTTAGATTTCGGAACGGATTAATTGAATATTCGATATGAAAATTTGCGCAATTTACTATCGTCCCGTGTAATCGCTAGATCAACTCAGTCAGTTTGTATTACTCTGGACACTACTACTACTGGGTATTCGCCGCGTAAAATATATATTATTTATCTAAATGACGAAAATAGACGGAAGGCAAAAACATCATTTAATCATTCACGGGATTTTGCCATTATTTTCGGTACAAGGAGATTTACACTAATAGACTAATAATCGGAAAAGGAACCAACGGTTTTTCCCCGTACTCAGGCATCTTTTTTCTGCTTAAGCGTAATGCCCACTGTATATATGCAAATAATGATAGCGTATTAGTCTCTGAATTGTAGAGAAAGAGAGGGAGAGAGAGAGAGAAACAACAACCACCGCCGCCGCCGCCGTATAGATAAAGCGCTGATCCCTTAAAAGCAACAATAACAAGATAATACCGTTAGCGCTAATCACTGCTCGCTCACTTCATCCCAACTCGACATTTTATCGTGTCCTCTGATTGTATTCATTTAATTTTTATTCGAATCTGCTCAATTGTTCTTTCCTTCTTCTTCTTCTTCTTCTTCTTCTCATTTTTTTCGCTCTGCTCTTTTTTCTCTCATTTTTATCTCTCAAAACAGGATATAAATAAATTATTGGGTATCACACCATCCGATATCGATAAATATTCGCGAATAGTATTTCCCGTTTGTTTTGTATGCTTCAATCTAATGTACTGGATTATCTACCTGCATGTGAGTGATGTGGTGGCCGATGATTTGGTTCTGTTGAAGGAGGATAAGTAAGCTGATGTGTGACAAGGACCACCAGCATCAACACGTCGCCGATGCCGATGCCGAAACAGAGACACAGAACAACCCAATGCCGTTGAAGCGACAAACAAACACGAAAAAAAACCAAAAAAAAAATAAACGCTTAAAAATATATATAAATAAATGATAAAAAAAATATGCGGTACCGTTGTTACCCGAGTTTTGCAATTATCATCGATAGCTAGTTTAGCGCCATTGCAAAATGTATTTCGAATCCACCATTGAGAGAGACAATGACAGAGCCAGCCACACAGCAACAGCAATAAATTTCAACACGTATTTGTATAGCAACCCAAAAACAAAAATAAAGAGTGAAGAACTAAAACCGAAAAAAAAAATTAAACGAAAAGGAGAACCAGCCCGCAGTGAATGAATAATCAGCTGATAATTAATCTAAACATATTCACTTGAACACATTCAAAACAAACAGACAAACAAAACGAGCGTTCATTCGTATTAACTATAATAAGGGAGAGGAAAAAATAATGAAAAAAATTCAATGCAAGAAAGAAAGAAATAAAATGAGAAAATCTATCAGTTAAAACTAAATTAAAGAAAAATATAAATAAAGACAAACACCTTCTCCACGTGTTTCGATGCATGCAATAGTAAAATAAATATATTAGATGAATTATCTTATAACCAGCAAAAGAGAGCAACAATATTAAGAACATTCGTATATCATATTCGTGTGCAGGTGTGCACACCGAACAAAAAACTGTTCCGTTTTCATTCTTTCTCCAGGTGTTGGGCAGAATTTGTTTTCGATTGGTTTCTTTTGCGCCCCTTCAAATCAAACAAAAGTGGACATCGATTTCGTTTCCATCAAAATATTTTCGGCCGTTCGAATGAATGAATCAGGCACAAGGACTATATATGTCGGGTTTCAATTCAACCGATTTCGGTGCTCGTTCTCACTCGTCCGGTTCGGCCAAAATGTTAGATTTCAATTCAATCACGGCAAATTGTTTGCCGCAATTTTTTATACCTGTTTTTCCCCTCCTGTGAAACAACACTTTTTCTCGCGCGCGCGCGCGTGTCAATCACACTCTGTTTTCTATTTCTATCATTTTTCCATAGCAATGCAAATTGCCGCACAGCAAATCGGCTAAGTGCACCTAAGTGAATACGGCACACGTGCCGTAGCAAATGCCCATCGGCATACACACATTTATACATGCATATTTCGTTCTATGTGTGCGAATTAGAGATAGAGAGAAAGGGAACAAAACTGAAATCTCTCACAGAGATAGGATGATGATAATGAAGCGAAATCATGTACAACTTTTTGCTATGGGTGTGTGTGTACTAAATATGTAATACATTTATATTAAGTGTTATTGTGCTTCAAGCCTATTTAAAAAAAAAAGAAAAAAAACCAACCCAAACCAAACCAAAAAAATGTATCTTATAAGTGAAATTGCGATATTCGTTTCATTTAAAAACGAACCACAGATTAAAACAAAAATCAATTAAGACAGAAGAAGAAGAATGACATTTACGTAATTTAAACGATGTTCATTTAGAACCAAACAAAAAAAAATAAGTAAATACCAGATGAGATACACGAAAAGAAAATTCCAGCTTCCAATGTGTTTGCCAAATTTTCCCTAATCGAACGAATATGACGACGATGACGACGACGACGACGATGACAAAGACAACATCCAGAAATCTTGAAACACAAAAACAAAGTACATAGCCATAAATTAATTTCTTCGTCTTTGATTAATTTTAGTGCAATTTATCGAGATAAACAAAGTAGAGTCTAACTCGTTTCGATTATGATTTAGAGATTGTAGCATAATCATACTTTCATTTCACACATAGTCGTCACGAGAAGACGTCTCACACTTCCCACTTCATCTTCTTCGACCGCACACACTAAAACACACATATTCATCCATATTTCGGTTGTGCATTCATTTCCGTTTCATCCCGTTGTGGTTTTCATATTGTTTTTTTTTTCCTTACGTTAAGTGTGTTTGTCTAGAAAATCGTTGTCACTCGAAATCTACACGATAATCAACAACTCAAATTTACTCTCACACCATATCGTTCATAAATTTTATACACAACAATTCACTGTCACCATTTCACTTTCTCTCTCCCTATGCTTCCTCATCAAGTTGAACAAGTTTTACGCACACACATACATACTCACATTTGTAGAGACATTTGCAAAATGCACCGCATTTCCGAAATAATTCAGATTTTTTTCATAGGCGAAAGCAAACCAAGCAAATTCGTAATATGAAAATTCAAACTACACACACGTAGACTTTTAAAATGGCATTCACAAGCATAAACCAATTCAACTAAATTCAATCGCAATGAATACATAAGTTGTTAACCAAACTATTTTGCGAAAGTTTTCCATTTTACGAGAGTTAGAGATGTAAAAAAACACACACCCACACACTCACATATGAAGTCAAAAATGGCAGAAAAGTACGCACTCTCACACGTATCTAGAGCACCATATAGAGAATCACCATGCATCATTTGTTCGATAGCACTAATTTTCTTGTTGTTCACCGAAATCAACACCACCACCACCTCCACAACAAAATTCAAATGAGAATTTTGATCGAGAAAAATAAACACCCAAATGCTTTTATTAATAAATTTAACGATAAATGAAGATGAACTGATGCATGACACACAATAATAATTCTTCGCCAATTTTGATGATCATCGTTCATTCCATTTCATTTCGATAATCAACAAGAGCAACAACAGCAAAAAGAAAACAAAACGAATGCTTCAAAAATGGCGATAAATCTGTACATAATTTATTTATTCGAAAAATTTACCTATCTCTATCACAACAAGAACAACAACAAAATCGGTTCTTTATTAGAGGCTGCATGCCGTACGCACACACACACACACACCCACACCCACGCTATACTTAAAGACGCTACACAAATGGAGAAAGAAGAAAAAAGAATTGTTTTTTATCGGTTGCGCGACTCCCCATGACGACTGATCTTCGCCCATCGACATCCACACACGCACATCTATTTACGAACGAAACGAAATGAAAAAATGTTGCAAACGCAGGATTAAATCCCAAAAGTGGTCGCTCAAGCATCGTGCGATGTCGATGTAGTGAAGTTCTCCATTTAAGGCAAATAGAACAGAACAAAAATGGACATCCGTTGGCAAACCGATTCAAAATTGCTTTCAAATTAGACAGCAAACGGAAGAGAAAAAAAAAAAACAAACGGAAGAATTTCAAATGGAATATCAGACTGATTGAGTAGGAAAAATGCCATGCGAACAAAAAAAAAAATGCACATGGAAAATTCTAAAGAAAATTGTTTGAAAGCAGAAATGCATCGAAATACACAGACACGCGCGCTGCACAAATAATACTCGATGCAGTGGAATGTGCAATTAAATCGAATTCATACGACCGACCTCCTCTCTCCCCATTACATGTGTATAGAAAAATATGGAAAACTACATAAATTGCACATATTTTTATTTGTACACGAAAGATTATTTCATTTCTAAAGCAAAAAAAACAACAACAACAATTCATCCCCGGTTGAGCATACATATAGCGATGAAGAAGACAAACCATAAACAAATCATTTAATTAAAATGAACGATAGAAAAATGTGTGAAAAATTTAGACGTATAACAAAGAAGAAGAAGAAAAAAAACGCTAAAACAAAGAGGAAAATGAAAGTAATTCACTGAACAGCCGACTTCGGATTATCGAATTTTTGATATTTTTATATTAGAAATACAAAACAAGACATACCACGTTGGTAAAAAAAAATAATATTGCAGATATTAGATATGAAAACTGTCCCGTTCTCGGTTGATCATATGATTTCGGTTCGTTTTTGTTTTTTGTTTTTTTTTTTTGTGATGTTCAGTATATTTAAACAAATAAAAAAAACTGATAATGTCTTGTTCCAAAACTCCCATCATTCCTACTTAGTGAATAAAAATTATTGAAAATTACACGAGAAATAAAAATAAATACACACAAATCACACACACACTTTAAACACTCTACAACCAAAAAAATTATATTTAATATTAAACAATTTTTTTTTTTGCATAATTATCGATTATGTAAGCCACTGACGAGTAGAAAGAAACTAAAAAAAATCATCACCATTATCGGCATAATGAAAAAATAAAACATAAAATGTGACAAAAAATGAATAGCATGATGCTAAGTAGTAAATTAAGTAAAAACTGAAGACATTGAAAAAAGAAAACAATTTAAGAATAAAATGAAGAAAAGAGAAATGAAAATAAAACCAACGCGCCGATTAAAATGATAGGAAACCTGTTTGTGTGAGAGTATTGAGTCGCTTTTTTCTGGAATCATCCACGCGATGTACAAATATTGATTAGAAAAGGGCGAACGAAATGAATTCCATTGGGATGCGGATATAATGAAGTGAATGCAAAATGAAAGAAGAGGAAAAAAGTGTACGCAAACTCTCTCACACAGACATAAAACACACATTTAAAAGGTAAAGCAAAAACACTAGGCATCCACGTTCCTTTGTTATATAAAAAGGACGAAATGCCTACAATTGAATTCTAAATATTTTAGAAAATAAATTTACTTATAATATTTAACATAGGATTATAAATATATACACTTATACATGCAACCAGCAACAGTGAAGTAATGAAAGACAAACAGATCGACCGGACCGACCGGATCGACCAGCCGACAGACAGAAACACGATGCAATGATAAAAATGAAATTATGATCTGGAATAAAAGAACAAACAAAAAGAAAACCACATTATTTGACGTGGGATGGAGTTGATAATGAAAAAATGACAAACATACAGCAACAAAAATAAAATTAATAAAAAAAATTAGTTTTGCGAAATTATAAAACAACAAAAAAAACCACACACACACACACACATAGTTTATACACGAACGAATAATAAACCAAAAAAATGACAGCTAGACATTACACACACATATGTTATTGAACAATAATTATAATAATTACTATCGAGTTGTCCAGAACATGATCGTGTGTAAAAAATTGAAGAAAAAACACAAAAAATGCTAAGGTTACAACAATTCTCTCCGCCTGCAACACCGAAAAAGATGAAAATCCATGTGAGTGAAAGTGCTAAAACCTCAGAACAAAAACAAAAACTCACACACACATTTACCATTGAAATCGAATAAAATTTCATTTTCCATCGAAAAAAAAAAACGCTTTAAGTGCAACCAGCCACAAAATTCAAATCGATCGACATTTAACGAACAATTCGGCACTCACTCATCAGAAGAGAGAAAAAAAAACGAAATTACAACACAAACACAATACACGGACTAGTTGTCTCATCTTTTTCTCACCTCTCTCACTGTCGAAACCCACAAACCAAAAAAAAAACTAGATGCGCTCACTATTTTGTAATTGACTACTTTTGTCAGCCACCCAATCAACCATTTTCCAATTAATTCATTTTGATCCCAATTCTCTTGTTCCATTGCTCACGCTGAACCACCACATGGACAGAATAAAGCACGAAAGCAAAATATACACATCCGTCTAACAAACCAATAACAACAACAAATTTGCTTTACCACAATCGTTTCAGCTGTCATATGACCAATTCTTTCTTCTCTGTTCCCTTCTTTTCGTTTGTTTGTTAATTTTGTACAATATCCGATCAAAATGCAATGAGCATCGATGCACACAAACCAATTTGAACGAAATAAAAGGAAAAAAAGCGAAGTTCTCACTTTGAAAACGCTCAATTAAACCAAATTTAATTTATTCGTTTCGGTTCAAGTCCTCTTCTGAATTGCATGCAAAAATTTTAATCCAACAAACCATCCTTCCCCAAAACATACATACACACTTAAACGAAGTGAAAGAACTGTTTTGCACCGTTTTGTGTTACCATTTTGTGAAAGCTCGTCATCACTACGGATGATATCGTTAAAATTCTCTCGAACTCATGAACTCTTCATTTCGTTTTTCTATCTCAAAAAGAAACCGAGAGAAAAATTTATCGTTGCCAATATCTAATTTGATGATCACATCATCAATTTCACACCATCGATATATTTAATGTTCGCCGACTAACATACAACCAATTTTAAAAAAACAACAACCACAACAAACACATTCTATTTATATCAATTCAGACGTAGAAAAGCCAATTTTTAATCCACGCACATACCACACTAGCACACATAACGGAATTTTCATTGCAATCATACCCGAAACATGTAGCCAACTAATTAACAAACAAAAAAACAAGCAACATACCGAACAATTTGCACTTGAAGCAAACAAAAAATCTAATAATAACAAACAAAAACAACGTTACAAACATTATTAGCAAACGTTAAGGATCACACATCAAGGACAAATTTCTATGCAATATATTGCCTTAAATGCTCAATTACTACATCAAAGAAGAGGAAAGTACATGAAGAAAGGACGTTACATTAAATAAAACACAATACATGCCGGCTGAATGAGCACGAACGATCATTTGAATGGAAATAACATACAAACAAAGGTCACAAATGCGACATGAAATCAAAGGAAGATAAAGAATACGACTTACTATCCGAAAAACGACGCAGCAGCAACGCATTCGGTTTAATACGCAAGATATTTTCTCAATTTTGTAATTTTTCACATAATATCAAATCGATCGACACACCGCGCACCTCTCATTCAAAAGAATAATTGAGATGTACTACACGCGGGAGAGCTTTAACTAGTGAGCCAAATGTCTGGCAATACACACACAACTTTGAAGGGAAGAAGAAAAACCCGAAACCAAAAGCAAAATGTCAAAAAAAATAAACAATGTTCCATATAATTTACTCAAATTTTCAACGAGAGAGCTACTTATTGACTCTGCAATTTTAGAATCGACAACGATTCAAATGCTTCATTTGCTTAATTTGGTCATCCGAACACTACGAGCAAATACTCCAATGAAAAATCCAAAACGCATCGCTTAGAGTAATTGTCAATTTTTTCTTTCCTTCCAAACTAATTTAAAGCGATGAAGAAGAGGAAAAATTGGCATCTTTCTATTGCCATATTTGGAAATGAAGCGTGGGGAGCATTTTAGACTTGGAACAATTCGATTTAATTTCATTTGTGGCATCTGTATTTTTTTCTTTCGAAGACACTGAATAATCCAAAAATGCACACGCATTTCCTTGTCCGCACACACAATACACAATACACATATTTCAATGAGTGCACTTTCTTTAACCTGTACATTTGATGGACATTTCCAAATGAAATCAACGCTATCTTGATTTAAATCTTTTAAACACTGGGAATCTCGTCGAATCTAATCGATCGTTTGACATTCGATTAAATTACAAAGTTGGTTTCAAGTGCATGCAAAAAATGAATGAAGTCAGTTAGTCCACCGCACTCAACGAGAGATGTGATTTCTTTCAATGTGATGTGCTTCGATTCATTTTTATACAGACAATCAAAATATTCCGTTAATTTTTCTTTAATGTTCATGATTTGCTCATAAAACTCACAATGCCGTTGATTTTCTCGTAGCCTAATGTCACTATGATAATGAATACAGAAATGTTTGCAATAAATTTAGGCTCCAAAACTATGAATAATGATGTGATGTGCGCTGATCGGTAAAATGCTCAAGCTGATTGTAGTGTGACTGACTGCCACTTGCTATTTTGTTTCAAAAATTCTTGTGATTTTGCACGAATTCTCTTTCCGTTTCATTCAAACCCACACACACACACACACACACACACATTTTTATCCATGAGTCGTTTTGTTTCATTTCCATTTGAATTCACTGTGGCGTTCAACTGTTTAAGAATAAAATTCAAACAGCCATAACATTATTTCGACATTTTCATTCGTAGAAAAAAAAGAAGTTTGAAAAAAAGGTCAAACGATTAAATATCATTTAGTCTCTAGTCCATGAATCATGGACCATGATGAATTTACGATTACATTTTTTTATATTATTTGCATTTTCTATGAAATGCGAACACACACATAGATATTCGATATCTATCACCAATCAATCAACACGGTGGAAATGTTTGAATGGAACGTCACCATTTTCATTTGTCAACTCTTTCACACCCACATCGTTTCATTTTCCTTAATTTTTTTTAACCGATTTTATAGCCTGAATTGAAAATAGGAAAAAAGGGTGATCAACTATGTTTGAGCTGACAAATTGGAATAAACAAAGCAAAAATCATAGGCAAATCAATTGTTGTTTTGTTTTTCGGTTCATTTCCAATAAAAATGTTCGAACAGATTTGAATGTCGGGTTTTTTTTTTCGTTTAAGATTTGAAATAAGACGATGAAAATGAATCAGGAACTCTGCAGAATCAATAAAAATAAAACAACACGTGTTACCAATTTCAACCAATACCAGACTATAAATATCAAAAAATAACAATTCATGTTTTATCTTGCACCTTTTTATTAGACGATGCGCATTACTCGAAGTCCATTACGAGTTGGTTTTTTTTGTCTTTCGTTCGTAAAATGTATATAATATATGTAGAAAAGAAATTATTCGATATTCAGTGCTAAATCAGATTCATATGCATATTGCACATCCTAACGTATATAATTCAATCGCGTCTCCCATGAATGATAAACCAAAAAAAAATTATTTAAGTGTAATTCGTTTCGGATAAGTATAGAGTTTTTTTTCTCATTTTTTTCTTTTGGTCCCGTGCACTGTCACAACATCTAGCAACACACAAACACACATTCCGAACACATTTAAACGTTGTTCGTTTTTAACTTGACCATAATCGACACAATTTGTACGTTTTCAATTTGTTAAGCACACCACAAACACACCGATTTCGTCGAGACGAATTTTCATTTTCATCAATATCTCATTGCGTTTTCCGTCTCATCAACACAAAACACAACACAATACATGTGTCAATTGATATAATGAACTTAACGGAGAAAAGCAAGGGAAAGACAAGAAAAGAAGAAATACTTGTTACCAAGAAGACGAAGATGACGTAAAACTAAATTAGAATTGAGCGAGATACATTTTTAAAAATGATAGACAATTAATGCTGTTATTATTGCAGCAGCTAAACATGTCCTGAACACGAACATATTGATTCGAATCCATATATATAAAAAACAAAATATATGCATAATGTGTAATCACAAAGTACGGAAATATCGTGAAAACTTATAGTTTCGGGTCGCGTTCACCATTGAAACTGAATAGAGTTGAACAATAATTACTGACCCAGTCACACACACAGAGAGAGAAACATCAACATCAGAACTATACATACTCTCTCTTACATGACCGCGCGAATGCATCGTCACAAAGGCGCGCACACTTCGAACGATCTTTGTGGCTATCTATTATTCTAAATTATCGACAAAAAATGGAGAATAGCATATACAAAAGAAAATTCCACAAAAAAAAAACAAACACGATGATGAAAAACCATGGACAAGTAAAATCAAAAAAATTGATTTTGTTTCATTGTTGACATATTCATATATTTTATATTACAAAGACTAAATAGATTACCAGTTGGCGCCTGGTTCAAGATTTGTTACCAGCCAGCCACGAATTTAAAAAAAAAAAATCTGTTGCATTCGTTCTAACGTTTATTACTTTATTCTATAGGTCGTTTAAAGCCATATGTCAATTTCTCTAACCTTAATCAAACCATCTCCCGCCATCTCACCCTTCACTCAATCACATTCACAAACTCACTCAAAACACATAGATAAACACACACACACACACACTTTATACGCTTTATTATGTTCGTTTCGTTTAAAAAATCTTGTACAAAAGAAAATTCAAAGAAATGAAAAACCAAACGAGAAAAATCGAGACAAGAAAAAAAAACCGACACGAACGAGAAGTGAGAACTTAAGAAACAAGTTTGATCCTTATTTCCAATCTTTTCATTCTCTTTCGCGGATTGTGCGTTTCAAAGCCGCTGAGATGATAAGAGAAGTTAAGCAAAAAAAATGTCGTCAAAACAACAGCAGATGAAAAAAAAAAAAGTTTACCATGATGATGAAATGGTAACACGCGTTTCCTACTATATACAAACAAACATTGATACTACCTAACATATAAACCAACAACAAAAAATCGCAAAATTTATTTAAACCAAAAAAAAAAAAATTTATAACGGTATCAAGCAACAAAATTCAAAAAATGACAACTTAAAAATCACAACAAGTTCATATATATTTAAAACCAAAAAAAAAATTATGTAGATCTATTCAAAGCAAAAGAGTAAAAATAAAATTGGAACTGTTCGATGGAAGGGAAGATGACAGCTGACCAGAGGTGGGCATAGCCGTAGCGAGTCAACGATCGATACGAATTTTATCGAACGCTTTGCAATAAAGAACATAAAGTTCATTTCGATAAGTGTTGGCACGCTGTGCTTTGCGGCTGTTCCCATTATGATCTTGCTGTTACAAAATACAAACGACAACAAACATAATGGATATATCAGCATTAATTCTAGGAAAAGAGTTAAGTGAAAATAGGAAATTAACAAACAAAAAAACATTACAGCAAAATAGACAACAAAAAGAGAAAGAAAAAAAAAACACGTAGAGATCAGCGATCGATTGCCATGATGTTGAAATTAAAAATTTATGAACATATTGAATAAAAAACACACAGACACAAATTTTTACTCAAAATAAACGGTTTTTTGCAGCTGGATCTAACAACAAATATTCATGTGTGCGCGTGATTCTTTCGAATGATGAGAACATTTATATAGAAACCTTTAACATAAAAACACACACACACACACACACTCTACTCAAAGACCGAAACAAAAAATGGAACAAAAAAGCGATTTAAAAAAAAATAGTTAAGTAAGTTCTCAAATCTTAAGCCGAATTAAACAAACAAGTGAACAAATTCATTGAATTGAATATTACATTCCTAAATGCAATATAGTCGCATTGTAACGGATATCAGCAACGAACGATGACACGGAAAATGCGACGAATTTGTTACTTTCATTATTTGCACGTTGAACAAATACAAAAAAAAAATACATTTTTATGCGAAGGAAAGACTTTAAATCCTACTATGGCCTTCATAACGAACACAAAAAAATACATTGAAAGAATTAGAAGAAGAAAAAGTGAAATGATGTTGAATATCATCCTTTCTGATCATGAAAATAGTAAACAATACAGCGGCACCTGGGGACAAAGTGCAACGTGTCATACTTTCAACGTTTGAATTACACAAACGCACTTACACAGACGCATACTTGTTACAGCAAACTATGTGCATGATTCTCTATTTCTCCAACCAGTCGCCAGGTGCCGCTTTATTGTTCTTGTTTGACGTTTCCTATCTATTTGTACAGACGATCAGAGAGGCTGGAATGGAAAAACGAAGGTAGAGAACATTTTTACCGCGCGCGCGCATATCTGCGAATTACGATCGCATCGTTTGCGACATTTAAACCAAGTTTCAAATTGAACAAGAAAGAAAAAAAACATAAACATAAAACATGGTTGACGATTTTAAAGTTTCTTCTTTTGTTTCATCATATCCCAACACTTCCTCCCGTGGAGCCACTTACTTATCTTGTCTTAACCCACCATCTTCAGTGTGTGTTTATAAACGTCCGTATATTTCATTTCGTGCGGCCAATATGCTAAATGACTCAATACGACGGGGCAATTCCATCATCTCCATTTCCACCCAGGTGAATGGCACGCTCATGTAAATATGTCATTTTCCTTCTAACGCAACATATGGCGATTTTTCACCGATTTTTCACACCACACTAGCACCTCCATTAACCACCACTTTCGCATCTCGCGGATTCGCAATTCACAATATATTCAATCGATAAACCTCCCTCTCCCCCCCTCTCAACGTAACAACACATTCCCCGGTGCAAATCGAAAAATGCGCCTTTGACCAAGACCAAACACAACCAAAACCACAAAAAATGAATATATAAATTCGTATGTTTCTCTTCATTCATGCACCTTTATTTCATTCTAGTTTCCGTTTTCGTTCTTACACACCATCACCTCCCACTATCCAATGAATTTCCTTTTTCAATTACGAGTGCAAACAACAACAACAATTACACATTTAAAACATAGATACACACATGCAGATCAACAAAATTATAGCGCATACTGAATCTACTACATCTAAGTTAAAGACACAGCAAAACAAGAAAAAAACAAATACAGCAGCCCGTTGCAAGTGTGCCACCGTGTTTCGAATATATATATAGGTATATATATATTTATATATTGTTGACGATGCGATGTTTGCAATGCAAAATGTCCCGAAACCAAAACGGAGAGAAAAAGAAACGAATTGTTGTGGATTTGTGTTCGCACAAAGTGGCCGAAACAATCACCATCGGTTTGGAACATAACACGATTTCTTTTTCCATATTTCAATTCAATTGTCATCATTCACCAATTTCGATCATCATCGTATTTGGCCCGTTGGAAACGCAGACGCACTTGAAACGTGCTGAATCATTTAATATTAAACAAAAACCAAACCAACAAAAAAAAGAAAAGAAGAATAAAAAAAAACCAACTACAACAATGACGGATAAAACAAAACAACAACACGAAATAATAAAATAATGTTTAATTCAAATTTAGTTTTTCTATTTACAACACATGTATAAAAAAAATATATGATATTGTTTTATTGAACGTTATTTACCACCCAAAAAAAACTACCATTTTTGCACATGAAATTTAAATTAAGCAAAAGGCATGTGTATATACTAAATAAAAAAAAAATATGAAAGAAAAGGAAAAGGGAAGAGTAGTAGAAAAAAAAACACAAAAAACAAGAAGTATATATATGAAATTAATGTTATTTTATAATAATTATATGAAAGAAAGGAAGAAAAAAAATATTAGATTTAATTACTTTAGAGACAGATAGATGAAAATAATGAAATGAGAAATGATTAAGTAAAACAAAACAAAAAAAAAAACCTAGAGAGAAAAAAATCAAGTGAATAACAAAAAAATAAACAACTGAGAGAAAATTCAAAATCAGAAATGAAAGAAAATTATTAATTTGTTTAACATGAAATAAAATATATTGTATGTATAAGATGAAAAAATTGAATGCTGCGCCTTTTATTCAGATTTATTTTTTCTGTTTAAATTTGATTGAGTTGGATTTTTTATGCTTTGATTTGGTCTGCCAATTGAGGCAGAAGTATGGTACGACAGAAAACACATAACAGAAAAAAAACACATAAACGAAAAATCAACGTCGACAGTGCAGGAGAGTAACGTCAAATTCTTTGGCGAAAGAACGATGATTTTTCAAATTGGAATCCATGGATTTATTATAACTGCGTTAAAAATTAAGAAAAATCGTCTCACTGTAAGTATCTGCTATCTACTTAGGTCTATTCTACTGAATTCCAAGTTGAAATTTTCTATAGAATCGGTATATCCGAATGTGGAGAAATGAAAAAAAAAAATCTGGTTTGCAACCCACAAATCGGTGGTGCACATCGGATCAGTTTTTCAAAATTGCTCAGTTGTTCGTGCCCATTGAAAATCAATTCAAGCCATCATACTGAGCAAATGCAATATGCAGTTGGTATCAGAAGAAGAAATTATGTTAAGCAAATGGTTGTCATGCATGCACGGGCACACATATACACATACAGATAGGTTCGCCATCACGAACAAAGAGAGTGTTAGAAAGAAAGAAGAAGAGCATATTCATTGAGAATATATAGCGTACACTTGAATTGCGTCGATTGGGTGTTTCGGTTGGTGTGAAAGAGACGACTCTAGTATGTGTGATGTACGTTATACGCCGTCGCAATGAGTAATCACAACGTTATGAGAAATACCACTGAAAGTGCTGATCTGTCAAAATAAAGGAGAGAAAAGAGGAACGAGCAATCGCACATCAAGTCTCATTTCTTTTTATTATTGAATAGCTCAGCGAATAAATAGCTTGAAGTGAAGTGAACCACTTTCAGCAAAGTTTCTTTTTTCGTCAATAGACACACACACACACACACACACACACAATATTTTATATTATTTTGGTTGCAGTGAATTAAGGCAATGGCAGCTATTGAACCATTAACATTGGCTAAAGGTGAGTAAAATAAAATCCAATGAGCTGAACATCAAAGAAAATTTCATTGAAAAAATAAATGGGCAAAACTTTCTCTCACAACAAATCGAAGGGAAATGAAAACACACACTGAAACTGGGTGTTGTTAGAGTGAGTTTTTTTTTTCTCTGCTAGATTTTATTCAGTTAGGAGGTCAGGGTAATCATACCGCTTGATTCGTTTTATAAACATCATCCGCACATTGCAGCAATTGTGTTTCACATTGTTTTCAATGCAAGCATTTCTTCTTTTTTCTGCAGATGTTCAACGATGCATTGAAATTTTGGATAAATTACAAAACAGCGGCGAAGTTCCAGCTACGAAATTGGCTGCGCTACAGAAAGTGTTACAAAGTGACTTTTTGAATGCTGTACGTGAGGTATACGAGCATGTTTATGAAACGGTTGACATTCAAGGTTCACAAGATGTTCGAGCGTCAGCCACGGCCAAAGCAACTGTTGCTGCATTTGCTGCAAGCGAAGGCCATGCACATCCTCGTGTCGTTGAGCTACCAAAAACCGACGAAGGACTTGGCTTCAATGTGATGGGTGGCAAAGAGCAAAATTCACCCATTTACATTTCACGCATCATCCCTGGTGGCGTTGCCGATCGGCATGGTGGCTTGAAGCGTGGCGATCAATTGCTCTCGGTTAATGGAGTTGTAAGTTCTATTGGCTTCGTATTCTCTTCAGTTTTGATTGGATACTACACTCAAGTGCACCGAGACGAGCGTAGCATAAACTAATTCCACATTCATTGCTTTTCAGTCCGTCGACGGTGAGAATCACGAAAAAGCTGTGGAGCTGTTGAAACAAGCCGTTGGCTCTGTTAAACTTGTTGTGCGCTATACACCGAAAGTGCTTGAAGAAATGGAGCTTCGATTCGATAAGCAACGTGCGGCCCGAAGACGTCCATATCAATAAATATTCATGAAAAAGAGAGAGCATTTAATCATTATATAGCGAAAATTACTAATTATTATGGAACATTCGCCCGATACATTTTCATTTGTTTGGTCATTGTTAGAGTATTTTCATGGGAGAGGCACACGTTCATCCACTGTCATAATGTTTTCGTTCTATTTTGTCTCATGCAAACAAACAAAAAAAAACAACAACAATTTCTCGTTTCATTCGAAAGCAATACAAAGATTCACTTATATAGAGGGAACGCCAACAGTGTTCAAAACTGGCCGCCAACAACAACAACAAACACACAAATCGTATCTTATGTCCCAGTTCATTCTTCCTCTCATTTATTTGATAAATTAAATTGTATTTTTTATTTTTAAATTAGACAAAATAAATATATATATTATATGTTGTTTGTGAAACCATATGCCCTTGATTCGATAGGCTCAGAAAATTTACCCAGAAAAAAATTCTCTGGTGGAAAATCTAATTGTTTCTATTACTATAGAAAAAACAAATTATGTCAACATCGATTTGGTATAAAACAAGAACAAAATAAAGCATCATTTATTGATGCTGTTAATTCGATTGATTCAAGCAAAACCATCAAGTTTTTTTTATATGATTTTATTCATTAATTTTTCGTTAAAATTTAGCATTAAATAAAACAATTGTTTATTCTTTTATTTTTTCTCCACTTCTGTTGCTGTTTCGTTAGATTTTTGCGAAATTTGTAGCGCTTCATGGACGTCGTCGTGTACATCAGCCGAACTGAGTATGCGAAGATTTGGCATGACTTCTTCGAGCAGTGAACAGGCCAATTGGAATTCAATCGATCGATTCACCGTGTCCAATACAATGGCCTTTAATGAACGCAACTTTGGTACAGCGTATAGTGCATTTGCTGTTATGCTAGTGCCAGACACATCGAGAATTTCAATTTTATCGAATTGATTGCCACACAATCGATCCATGCACCAATCATCGAAATACTTGACATTTCGCAACGAAAAATATTTCAAATGATGTAACCGTCGAACGTTCTCCAATCCTTCGTACATCAAATCCATGTTGTCACATTTGATGGCATCGATCAGGTACTCTGGATCATATTGACGCGGCAAATCATACTCATCGTACTTATTCTTTATTATCCATTTATTCGATCGGGTGAATCTATCGGAATGAAAGTAGGGAATAACTCATTAGAATCACATTTGATGAAGAAATTAGCTCAATTTTAACAAAATTCAAACCACTCCCGTAGATCAGATTGTTACCTGACTTGACCGCCACGAGCGACAAGAAAATGTGCCGCGGCCAAATCATTGCCCAAGATTCGATGACGATCGTTAAGAAATCGTTGATCCTGTGCCATCATTTCGTATTTTTTGAATTCAAGCGTTCGCAAAATGGAACTTTTATCCAATGGCCGTTGAATAACTTCGAAAAAATGTCGTGTACGTTCCGGTGCCAAAAGTCGTAAGCCTTCCGTTATAATGCTCGTTCTTTCTGGAAATGGTTTACGCCATTGCAGCTTTTGTTTCGATTTTTCGATGCGTTGTTCGAGATCGGACAGTGGATTTGGTTCGGTTTCGGAGAAAAATCGCGGCTCTTCTTTAGTGTTCAGTTGAAAAAACTTGCGTTTCTCTTTGTCAAACCATCCGGACACAGATCGCATTGAGATGTAATGCTGTTGGCACAGTAGCCGTTGCTTCACTAATTTATTTACGTTCATTTTTCCGACAACACGTTTGAAACGGATTTAGACTAAACAACGTTAATTGATGCTGCTAAATTCGTGGTTGCATCAGAACTTTCGAACAACAACATTTGCATCGAAACACATTTATCCCGAGCACTGTTTTGACATTCAACCGAATCGATGATAAGTGTCAGTTTGATGACATAACCTTTCATTACATCGCAGTTTGACTTTTGCGAATCGAATTTGTTTTTGTTGTGTTGGTTCATTTCGGTGAGATACGGGACATATTTTGCAGCTTAAAAATAGAAAATTGAAGTTTTTTTTTTCTGCAAATGAAAAATGCCTCCACCGATTCCAATGAGCGAGGCCGATCCATGTTGGAAAGTGTGTAAATTCATTGAGTTATTTCATTTAAAATAATTAATTATTGGTAAACAAGGAACTTACAAAAATTGATTGTTGTTGTTTACATTTTCATTGCACACAGGAAAGACAACTGATGTACAAATGTTTGGATGAGAATAACTACGACAAAGACAAATGTGAGGCATACGTAAAAAATGGAAAATACTGCAAGAAATTCTGGGTAAATTTTCCTTCGAAGAGTTTCCATTCACGTTTCAGTGTTCGTTGTCCATTTTGCTGATGATTGAAACGTCTGTACTAACAAAACCAAAATTAATTTTTATTGCAGTCGGCTATCGCTGATGACCGTAAGCAGAAAATGATTTTCCCATCGATGCCCATTGGCGAAGAGCGTGAAAAAATCCGAGAGGAATGTATGAAGAATTACAAAAAGCCAACCATTCACATAAAATCGCAATAGCAGACTTAGTTACGAAATTGTTTCCTTCCTTCTTTCTGTAGAACAATGTTGTATTGAATTTTGAATGAATGTTTCAATACCGAAACGGAATATTCTCTTTTTTGATTGTTTTTATTTATTTCGATTAAATACAAATATTGGAAAGAGGATTTTAAATTTTATTTTTTTGTTTCTTCTCTTAAACTTTTTCAAGATTTGTGTAATTCCATTTAGATTTGTTTTTAATGTGACTGTTTGTGATTTCAATGAAATCCGGTTTGACACATTGAATCTGGCTACAAACGAGATGGAGCGAAAATCGAATTGATTTGTAGATGTTATGGGTGCATGTGGTTTCGATTATTGAGTTTAACAATCTGCGAGTTGGGGAGGGGAATTTGTGTGTTTTAAACTGTATTCAACTTAGTTTTTGCCATCGTCATCACTGCTAGCGCCGTCTTTATCGTCTTGTTCGTTGCCATTTTCTCCATCATTATATGTCATTCCTTCTTCATTTTCATCCTCTTCATCGCCGTCAACTTCCGCATTTTCGGCTTCGGCACGTTCCATTCGGCGTGCCAAATCGGCTTCATCCGTAGCCGTTACAACTTTAGGCTGTACATGGAAAAGAAAAGAAAAACAGTCGAATTAGAGAAAAAGGTGACCATCGTGTCAATGTGATTGAAGAATGTATGTCGCTTACCGCCATGTTCACCGTAAAGACACCACCAAGCTTTGTGATCGTTTCTTGGATTCGTTCGATGGCATTTTCCAGCGCTTTCAATCCGTCGGCTTTTTCAGGCGTTGACGTAGTCATTACTAATCAAATGAAAGGATTTTGTTAGACAATTTACTAACTCGGAAATGAGGGGAGGATGAAAAAGACCATATAATGGGGGGAACAAAACATGTACCATATAATGGAGGAGCAATGAGATTGATTTTAATCGGTAGTTCTTCGGTGGAGGTTTCCAATCCAGCGCGCAATGCTTCTTTCACCGCATCAATTCCTTCGTATTCATAACAGGCACATTCGATGTCGGCCCGAATTTTAACTGCTTGTGACGTCAATTTTCGTCGAATGTTGTTCAATAGCACTTCACGGGTTTTCTCCTCCAAGCCGCATTCGTCTAAAATGGATGGATCAACCACCGCTTGCTTGAACACATCGTATGCGGCCGCTTTGCTTTTGTATTTCTCTTCGAAATGCCAGGCCGTTTTTTGATACAACTCCTCCAATTGGTCGTCTGTTTCGAATTTCAGAATGTCGGCCACGTGACGCAATATTGAATTGACCGCTTTCGCTTTGGCAAAACGTTCTGTACACTTTTCTACATCTTCAGCAGACACTCGACGTTTCGACAAATCGATATAGCCTAAGCAATTGAAGGGAAATAGAAAGAGAGAGAGAGAGAGAGAGAGAGAGAGAGAGAGAGAGAGAGAGAGA